TAAATATATGAAACTGATCAGCAGGCTGATGAAAATGCTATTCGGGTCCCCCAAAGAGGAATTGAAAGAGCTATGCTTGGAATATCACGTTTCACTCAAATGAGAGAAAGAATCCGGAGTTCCGACCTCCGTCGACGATCAAGAATCAGGGACTCTGTCTCATTTGCCAAGGCATCAAAAATCAGATGGGCTGGTCACGTAATGAGATTTGGAGATGACCGCTGGACTAGAGCCGTTACCAACTGGATTCCATGGGATGTCAAAAGACCGCGTGGCCGCCCACCTACCAGATGGTCAGACTTCTTCATCAAGACCATGAATGATCGGTTTGAGGCTCTTCGTGTTCCTAGACCAAACAGGCGCCATTGGGCTACACTAGCACCAGACAGGGACAAATGGAAATGTTACTGGCGCCCGCTCGAGCAAATCAACCATTAACGGGAAGTCAAGTGATCAAGTGATCAGCAGGCAAATAAACAAACCAGAGGGCACTGACCATAGAACTAAGATTTTTTTTTTTTTTAGAGGGAAAGAAGGCAGGGAGGGAGACAACATGGGATGGGGGTATAAGAAAAGGGGGGAGAATTTTATTTGTCAAAATTAAGAGGTCGGAGTGATAGTTCAGTGGGTGGGCACTTGCCTTGCACATGGCTAACCTGGGTTCGAACCCCCCAGTTGCCAGGAGTGACCCCTGAGCACAGAGCCAGAAGTAAGCTCTGAACAGTGCCTGGTGCGGTCTCCAAATCAAGATGAATAAATGAACAAACACAATGAAAATGAGAAGGCCTGAGGGCTCAAAGCTGGGGCCATTGTACGCATGCTCAATCTCCTGCAAGGGCTGATGGACTCTGGAAGGAAAATGGGGCCAGAGGCATATTTTTGTATTTGCAGTGCAAAAAGGCACGTTTTCAGCTGGACAAGCAATCCAACATCTGGTTGGCCTGGGTTTTCTTTACCAAAAACATGGAAGATTTGGAGTTGGAGAGATAGAGAGGATAAGGCACTTATCTTGCCTTGCATGGGTGAATAAGCCCGGCTGGAGTTATCCCAGAACATAGCTAGGTGTGGCCCCTCAGAGCAAAATAAAAATATGGGCGATGAATGTCCATTTTTAACAGGTGGTTGATTATTTTTTCCAGGTTGTAACCTGGAAGTCTCAGAGGTTACATCTGGGCAGTGCTTGGGGGACCCTGAGTGGAAGCTAGATCTCTTGCTTATAAAACTTCCTCTAGCCTGTGAAAGCTAGCCCTCGGACCCACAGCTGACCGTGCGGCTAACCTGGGGGCTGGGTGTTTGAAGTGCCCTGTTGGGGCCCATCTGTGCTCATCTGTCTCCTTGCCTGTCCTTGCTGGCTGGTCCCTGCTACTATGGCTTAGTGAAGCATCACAAATAATTGGCCCTCTGTCCATCTGCAGTCTGCCTCCAGGAGGCATCTCAGGACAACGGCCGTCTTTTGGGTTCAGAACTCCCTTTCTGCCTCCTGCGTGTCTTTTCTCCTGTGGTTAGCCTTTTGATTGGAACACACCCTCTCGTTATCTGGTAGAGATAAAGCAAGTCCATGGTCTTGCCTAGACACTTTCATTTTTTAGGAGCAAAGCTTCCTGCCTATTTTCTTCCTTCTCTCTTCCTTTCCCCCCTGGCCTGCCTGGTTCCCGGCTGCTGGAAAGGATACTTGGCCTTGGTTTTCTTTACCAAAAATATGGGAGATTTGGGGTTGGAGAGATGGTAGAGAGGATAAGGCACTTGCCTTGCCTTGCACGGGTGCTGCAAACTCAGCAGGAGTTACCCTAGAACATAGCTAGGTGTGGCCCCCCAAAGTAAAATAAAAAATATGGCAGATGAATGTCCATTTTTAATAGGTGGTTGATTTTTTTTTCCCAGGGGGGTTGGTTACACCTGGCAGGGGGGATTGTCTGTGTACTTGTTCCATGCTTGCACGTGATACCTGCAGAGGTGGATTGGGATCGCTTCCTTAACATCCCCTCCCAAAGTACAAAAACAAAACCAACAACCCACAAAACCAGAATCTCCAGCACTGCTGCTGTTCCTGCATTGTCTGCATTTTCATCCCGTGGAGGCTGCAGGTCCACCTGAGACCTCCTGACCTGGCCATTCTATCCTTCTGGCATACCCGACTCGGTTCAGCATGCCTGGCTCTAAACTTGCAGCTGTTAAGATTCTGCAGCTTGCGTGCTTAGAAGCGCTGGCCCACGCGCGCTTCTCTTCTGGATTTATAAATAGGTTCAGCTGCCGAACAATTAAACATACTATATTTTGCCCGTGTACATGCCTGAGGGAGACCTTTAGAGGCCTGATGGCTTTTCCTCTTGTGCCTCTGAGAAACCGTTCCCTCCCAAGCCTTTTCAGTTCCCCGGGAGGGAAAGGAGGTCTCTTCTGAAGAAGTGGCAATGAGACTTTTGTTCCTGTGAAGCCCAAGACACACAACCTTCCACATGCACAGGAAATCTGGTATCATATTTCCAGCAGCTTCTCATGGGGACAGGCCCGGGACCAGCTCGTGCGTGTCAGAGAAGTTGTGCGTAGTGTGTTTTCCATCATATGTAGCCATACAGGCTGAGGGAAAACCCATGACAAAGACAAGCAGTGGATTCTGAGGAGAAAGGCGGCTAGTTTCAGCTTTAAACTATGGGATAAGGTGGAAAGGGGCCTGGGAGACCTGCCTGAGAAGGGGGGAACAGAAGGGAGGGGGAACTGGATTTAATGCATTGATACTCCCAATATGGGTGAAAATAGCACATTCAGATGGGATTCTTTTTTTCTGTAGGGGGCACACCTAGCAATGCTCTGGCTCTGTACTCACTCCTGGCCCGTGCTTGGAAAAACATATGGGAAGCGGGGGATTGTGGGAAGCTGGGCATTGAACCCTGGTTGACTGTGTGCAGGGCAAATGCCCTTCCCGCTGTATTATGGCTCCAGCCCTGGGACAGTGTCCTCCCCCTCCCCTCCTTGGAATGCACTAAGGTGCGCTGATGAAACTCATCACTTTCTGTCTCTGTCTCTGTCTGTCTCTGTCTGTCTGTCTCTCTCACACGGACCAAGGAGGGGAGAGAAGAGGTGGGCGCAGTCCCTTTGGGAACTCAGGCGGCGTCCAGGCTCCCTCTCTTCTCTCTGCTCTCCTGTGGCCACCTCCTCCATCAGGCTATCAGGGACCGGGCAGTGACATTCGAGTAGTCCAAGAACCACTCAGGTCACCTGGCTCTCTGCACTCAGGTCACCTGGCTCTGCCGGTCGCTCAAGCTTCCGGCCGATTTTCTCACGTGGATATGTATAGGGGTAAAAAGGATGGGGGTGGGTGGGGGGCAGGGGGAATGTGTAGCGGATTTGGGAGGGGCTGGAAACGCGCACTCAGGGAGCTAGTCGGGGCTGGCAGGTACCCTGGCCTGCAGGCCACAGGGCTCCATAGTTTGTAGGAAGTCGGGGTGGAAAAATTCCGGCGGCAATGTGGCAAGTTTCCAGCTTCAATCAAAAACAAAAACAAAAACCCCAGCCGGTCCCATCGCCAAGGCCGGGGCGGGGAGATGGGGGGCGAGGGGGTGCCTCCCCAGGGGTCCAAGGCCCAGGAACTCATTGCCACCAGCGGGGGGCTCCACCGAGCGTGGCCTGGCAGCGCCCCAGGCCCCAGGCTGCCCGCAGGCTCCCGGCGCGGCGGATACTCCCACCCCCAGGGGCGCGGGGGACCCTCGGGGGGACGGTGGCCGAGGCCCGGGCTGCCGACCCCGACGCCCCGACTTCCCGGTGCGTCACGCCAGTTCCTCGAAACCTCCCGGGCCCGGCCGCCCACTGGGGGCTGGGGGTGGGGGGAGTTGAAGTCGGGGTGTCGCGGGCCCTGCGCCTCCAGCCCAGGTTCGTGCTCACCGAGCACCCCCAACCCCCAACCCTCCGCCGCGCGCCCCCAGGGGAGAGCGACGCCCCCTGCGGCCCCGGCGTGGGGGAGCCGGGTCCCCGAGTGGGCCCGGTGAGTCAGGCGCGGGTGGGGGCTCAGGAAATGACATCAGCCGCCCGTGCGGGCGGGGGGTGGTCGGGCTGGGGGGCGGGGGGGCGGCGGCGCAGCCCCGGGCCCCGGCCCGCGCGGGGGCCCCTTCCTGGGGGCGTTGCCCGCGGCCGCCCGCCCCCTCGCGGGGCCGCTCCTTGTATGGTCCGGCCCGCGCTCTCCCCGCCCCGCCCCGCCCGGCTGCAGGCGGCGGCTCCGGCCCGGGCCGCGCAGTCCGAGCCCCGCGCCCCGCGCCCCGGCACGCCGCGGTGAGGCTGGGCGCAGCGGGAGGCCGCGGGGCCGGGGGGCGCGCGGGGTGCGGGGGGCCGTGGGGGGAGGCCGCGGGGCGCTGCGGGCCGGGGGCGCCCGCCGTGAGCTGAGCGCGGGCCGGGCGGGCCCCGGGGAGGGCGCGGGTCGGGGGGCGCGCGGGGTGCGGGGGACCGGGAGGCGCGCGGGGGACTGGGGGTCGCGCGGGGATCCGGAGGCGCGCGGGGGGCTGGGGGGGCGCGCGAAGTGTTGGGGGGGCGTGCAGGGAGCCGGGGGCGCGCGGGGGGCAGGGGTTGGGCGGGGGAGCCGGGGGCAAGCGAGGGACTCGGGGCGCGCGGGGGGCCGGGAGGCGCCCGGGAAGCCAGGGGCGCGCGGGGGGCCGGGGGGTCGCGCGAGGTGTTGGGGGGGAGCGCGGGGGGCCGGGGGTCGCGCGGGGGAGTCGGGGGCGCGTGGGTCGGGGGGCGCGGGGGACCGGGGCCGCGCGGTGGTCTGGGGGGCGCGCGGGGGTCCGGGGGCGCGCGTGAGGCCGGGGGCGCGCGGGGAGCCGGGAGCGCGCGGTGGTCTGGGGGGCGCGCGGGGAGTTGGGGGTCGCGCGGGGTCCTGGGGGGCCGAGGGGCGCTGCGGGCCGGGCAGGGCGGGTGCGCAGGGTGCGGGGGGCCGGGGGCGCCCGGGATGTTGGGGGCGCGCGGGGTGCCGGGGCCCGCGCCGGGTGCTGGGGGGCGCCCGCCTGACGACCCCCTCCCCGCCGCCCCGCAGCTCCCCCCGGCCATGGCGGCCCCCCGCCCGCCCCCCGCCATCTCCGTGTCGGTCTCGGCGCCGGCCTTCTACGCCCCGCAGAAGAAGTTCGGCCCGGTGGTGGCCCCCAAGCCCAAAGTCAACCCGTTCCGGCCCGGGGACGGCGAGGCGCCGGGGGCCGGGGCCCAGCGCGCACAGCTGGGCCGGGTGGGCGACATCCCCCCGCCGCCCCCCGAAGGTGAGCAGGCGGCGGCCGCGCGCGGGCAGGGGCGCGGGGGGAGGGGGTGGGCTGGGCGCCGCCGCCGCCCCGTCCCGAGCAGATGTTCTTACCTCATCGCGGGGCTCCTGGGCCGGGTCCAAGCGCGCCGCCGCGGGCGGGGGGTGGGGAGGCGGGAATGTGGGGCACCGACCTGCCCGTGCGGGCTCCGTTTTCCCCGGGGTAACGGGAGCCGCCGCGGCGTTCTCGGCCGAACCCGGCCTTGCCTGACTTCCCCAACCCCGACCCCCCTGCCCGGCTCTGGGACCCCTCCCCTTCTCGCCTAGATCTGTTGGGTTCTGGGTACGAGAGTTGTAGGAACGTGGATGGGGGTGGGGGCTGGTGGAAAGAGGGCCTTCCTCTGAGCGCCCCCCTTCCATCCACCCCCCCCCCCCAGATTTCCCCTTGCCCCCTCCGCCGCTCGTGGGGGACTACTCGGAGGGCGCCCTGGGAGGGGCTTTTCCGCCGCCCCCGCCCCCCATCGAGGAGCCATTCCCCCCTGCGCCACCAGATGAGGACATAGAGGACATCTTCCCCACCCCGCCGCCACCCCCCCCTGAAGATGAGGCCGGGCCCGAGGCCCCTCTGCCGCCCCCACCTCAGGTAAGGGGACCCGGGAGGACCAACCCAACCGAGCCGGGACACGCCCCCCCCCAACCCCCAAGGAGAGAGGAGGGTCCTGTCCCCTCCACTTGGCGGGCACCTGGCCATGACTCCTGACCCTCTAGTCCAGGGAGAAGGTGAGCAGTATTGATTTGGAGATCGACTCCCTGTCCTCGCTCTTGGATGATATGACCAGGAATGACCCCTTCAAGGCCCGGGTAAGGGACAGGGGGGAACGAGACACCAGCGTAGGACAAGCACCGTGGGGCTGGATGGAGCTGTCTCCCTGGACCACCTTCCTGCCGTCCTGACCCTTGTCCTCTCCTCTCCGCTCCCCACCCCATGACCTTTTGCAGGTGTCGTCGGGATATGTCCCCCCGCCAGTGGCCACGCCGCTCGTTTCCAAGCCCAAACCCGCAACTGGGGGGACAGCCCCCCTGCCTCCTTGGAAGACCCCGCCGAGCTCTCAGCCTCCGCCTCCGAGCCCGCCTCAGTTTCCCCGGCAGCCCCCTGCCCAGCCCCAGGCCAAGCCTCCAGTCCAGCTCCCTGTCCAGCCCCAACCTCCGGCCCAGCCGGTGGCTAATACTCCACCCCGGGCCCCCTCCGGCCCTTCTCCAGCCCCTAAGTTCTCCCCAGTGACTCCCAAGTTCACTCCCGTGGCCTCCAAGTTCAGCCCTGGAGCCCCAGGCGGACCCGGGCCCCAGCCCAGCCCGAAGTTGGGGTCTCCTGAAGCCCCCGCTGGCACCGGCTCCCCTCAGCCCCCCAGTTTCATGTACGCTCAGCAGCGGGAGAAGCCCCGCGTGCAGGAGAAGCAGCAGCCCGTGCCGTCCCCGGCACCACCAGCACCCACCCCAAACTCCAACCAGGTGAGGACAGGCGGGTGGGAGCACTTCCGGGTCTGGCTGGGGAGAACCAGTGACATAACGGTCAGAAAAGGCCTCTCTGGCCTCCAGGCTCGGGCTTGGAATGAGGAGCAGGAGGATTTGAGGGACCTTCCCCTTTCTTCCTGCGCCAGAAAAAAGAAAAAAAGGAGAGATGAGGTCATCTCTTAGTCCTCCTGGCTGGCTACCTACCCCTGCTTCCCGGATTCTTGAGTTAATCTTCCCCTCCCACCCACTGGAGGGCCCAGCTGCAGATAAGCATCCCAGGCCCCGGGAGCCCTGGAGCAAACCCAGCTCTTGGAATGCCAGCCCGGGAGCTAGACTTTCTGGGGAGGGAGCTAGGAGCCTCTGGAGCCAGCTGGGCCCCCGGATGGAATTGCAGATGGAATTGCGTGTTCCTGCTCCTGGGAGCTCGAGCAGTGCCTGAATGAGCAATGCCTGAACACAGTGCCTCAAGTCCCCCCCCCCCCCCCCCACGCCCTCCGGTTTCCAAGGAATGCCCCTCCCCACCTCTAGACAAAAGCTGTAGGATGAAGTCAGCTCTGGCCTGGAGAGTGCTAGGCTCTGTTGGGGCCTCTGGGCCCCGGACTGTGCTGCAAAGTTAGCTCTCCTCCAGTTCGCGGGGAACTGTGTCAGGGAGCCGTTGAGTTCCCTTTGCCTTTGGGGCAGGCGCGGCCCTTAACGGTCCTGTCACGGAGACAGACGCTGGTGTCTGTGTGGTTTGGTGAATTATGTGTCGCAGAAACTCAGACAGGGGATCCACAAGGGGATTTTTTTTTTCTCCAGTGTGGCCTGAAGGCTGGGGTGAGGGTGTGAGGGAGTTAGCTCAGTGGTCGGATCCTGGCACTGTGGGGTAGCGGGAGCCCTAGGACAGTCAACAGGGCGCTTGCTTTGCATGTGGCTGACCCGGGTTCCGTCCCCAGCATTGCTTTGCATGCGGCTGACCCGGGTTCGATCTTCATCTTCATCTCGTTCCCGGTGCCTGGCCTAGAGTGATCTCTGAGCACCGCCAGGTGTGGCCCTCGAACCCAAGCCCAAACAATCACTTCCCCGGGACCGCTTGCTAACTCCCAGCAGCACCGGGTGTGTCCCTGCGGTGACGACGCTGCTGGTGGTCCCTGGCAGCACTGGGACCGAGAATGCGCTGTTGCTTCGGTCCTAGCATGGAACTGACTGTCCCCGTTGGCTGAGCACCATTTGGGAGTGGCCCGCGATCCCCCGCTCAACCCCCACACCCCCAAAGGGAACAGAAGATTGCTGACAGAGCAGGGAAGGGCCAGGGGATGGGAAACTATTGTTGGGGTTTTTTTTTTTTTGGTTGTGGTTGTTCTTTGTGTTTGTTTTGTGATATTTTTTTGGGTCACACCCGGTGGTTCTCAGGGCTGACTCCTGGCTCTGCGCTCGCTCATTTGGGGGACCCGGTGGGGTGCTGGGGGTTGAAACTGGGCCTGTCGGGTGCAAGGTCAACGCCATCCCCACCCGGGCCGTCTCTCCAGCCTGGAGTAACTCAAACTCAAGGCGCTGAGGGGTTGGAGGCCTTGGAGATAGAGATTTCGTGGGCAAGAGAGCACTGTGGAGAGAGCAAGAGGGATCCGAGGAGAGAGAGGGCTGAGGGCCCGCGAGGGGCCCAGTAACAGTGTGCTCTGGGGAGAGTTTTCCCAGTTGCGGTGTGGAGACGGCAGTGAAGCATGTGGAATCACGCCTCAGTGCCCGCACAGCCCTGGGAAGGAAAAACGAGGACCAGAGCCGAGGGGTGAGGAGGAGGAAGAGGAGGAGGCCAGTGTGGAGGCCAAATGGAGAAGTCCAGAAGGGGAAATGACCGGGATGGGAAGAAGAGGGTTCAGCGCCTCGAGCAGCGACTCCAGGAGGCCTGGTCCATCCAGATGGATGCAGGGCCTCTGTCCTGAGGTGCGCAGAAGGAACGGGATGATGAGGAAACAGAGGCAGCATGGGAAAATGAGGGACGCAGGAGGAGGAGAGGAGGCCGTGGTGGTCCCTGGGCAGATGGAGAGCACAGATGGAGGCCAGGCCAATTTGCCCAGGTGGAAGTGAGCAGTGGTTCTGAGGGCCTGTGGCTGGCTGAGAGGCGGTGGGGAGAGAGGGTGGGGTTGGTTGTGGCTTCTGGAGGGTCGGCAGAGGCAGGTGGGGTGTGGCTGTAGGAGGGTATAGCGTGGGCGACTGTGGTGAGTGCTCGTGGCTGTGGCTGTGCTGAGGGTGTACAGTGGGGGGTGTCTTGAGGGACTTAGTGGGTGTATATGGGTGTGGTTGTGGTAGGGTGTATGGTTAGGGGTGTGTCTGAGGGGTCTGGTGGGTGTGCAGGGCTGTGGTAAGGGTGTATAGTGGGAGGGTGTGTGTGTGAGGGGTCTGCGGTGTGTGTGAGGGGTCTGTGGCGGTATGTGAGGGTGTATAGTGGGTGTCTATGTAAGGGGTCTGGTGGGTGTGTGAGGGGTCTGTGGTGTGTGTGGCTGTGGCTGTGCTGAGGGGGTATAGTGGGTATGTTTGCGTGTGGGGTCTGGTGGGTGTGTATGGGTGAGGCTTTGGTAAGGGTATAAACCCTACCACACTTGGGGGGGTGTGAGGGGTCTGGTGGGTGTGCATGGCTGTGGTGAGGGTGTATCGTGGGAGAGTGTGTGGCTGTGGCTATATGTGACAGTGTATAGTAGGAGTGTCTATGTAAGGGGTCAGGTGGGTGTGCAGGGCTGTGGCTGTGGTGATGGTGTATCGTGGGTGTGTGTGTAAGGGTCTGTAGTGTGTGTGTGTGTCTGTGGATGCGAGGGTGTATAGTGGGGTGTGTCTGTGTGAGGGGTCTGTGGTGAGGGTGTACATTGGGGTGTGTGTCTGAGGGTCTGTGGTGGGTGTGTATGTCTGAAGCTGTGGTGAAGGTTTACAGTGGGGGGGGTGTGTCTGAGGGTCTGCGTGGGTGTGTATGGGTGTGACTGCTGAGGGTGTATAGTGGGTGTGTCTGCGTGAGGGGTCTGGTGGGTGTGTATGGCTATGACTGGTAGGGTGTATGGTTACGGGTGTGTCTGAGGGGTCTGGTGGGTATGCAGGGCTGTGGTGAGGGTGTATAGTGGGAGGGTGTGTGTGTGTGAGGGGTCTGCGGTGTGTGTGTGTGTGGCTGTGGCAGTATGTGAGGGTGTATAGTGGGTGTCTATGTAAGGGGTCTGGTGGGTGTGCAGGGCTGTGGTGAGGGTGTGTGTGAGGGGTCTGTGGTGTGTGTGGCTGTGGCTGTGCTGAGGGGGTATAGTGGGGTGTGTCTGTGAGGGGTGTGGTGGGTGTGTATGGGTATGGCTGTGGTAGGGTGCACACCCTTCCACACTGGGGGGGTGTGAGGGGGTCTGGTGGGTGTGCATGGCTGTGGTGAGGGTGTATCGTGGGAGGGTGTGTGTGGCTGTGGCTGTATGTGACGGTGTATAGTAGGGGTGTCTATGTAAGGGGTTTGGTGGGTGTGCAGGGCTGTGGTTGTGGTGACAGTGTATCGTGGGGGGTGTGTGAGGGTCTGTGGTGTGTGTGTGTCTGTGGATGTGAGGGTGTATAGTGGGGTGTGTCTGTGTGAGGGGTCTGTGGTGAGGGTGTACATTGGGGTGTGTGTCTGAAGGTCTGTGGTGGGTGTGTATGTCTGAAGCTGTGGTGAAGGTTTACAGTGGGGTGTGTGTGTGTGTGTGAGGGTCTGGTGGGTGTGTATGGCTGTGGTGAGGGTGTATCGTGGGAGGGTGTGTGTGAGGGGTCTGTGGTGGGTGGGTGTGGCTGTGGCTGTGTATGTGAGGGTGTATAGTGGGGAGTATCCGTGTGAGGGGTCTGTGGCCGGTGTGCAGGGCTGTGGCCGTGGTGAGGGTGTACAGAGGGGTGTGTGTAAGGGGTCTGTGGCGAGTGTGCAGGGCTGTGCTGAGGGTGTCTGTGGTGTGTATGAGGGAATGGGGGGGGGAGTATTTCAGTCAGGAGACAGCAGCTCCGCTGTCTGCAGTGGAGGTTGGAGGATGTCTGAGAGGCAGCGAACGAGGTGACACCCTTCCCCGCGCCCCGGGAGTTTCCCAGAGAGATCAGTGCTGCCACAGAGTTGTCTGGGAGAGGAGCAGCGAGAATTCCTGGCGTGGGCCGGCTGCCACCTCCTCATGCTGTAGGTGAGCGTGAGGGGTTTCTCAGGTGCGGGGCAGGTTTGGGGCAGCTGCTGGCAGAGGCTGGGCCCTGGGGCAGTGCAGTGCAGTGGTCTGCTCCAAGGCAGGAACAGGAAGTGGGTGGTGGCACCGCCCGAGGCTGTGATGGGGCCAGATAAGGCCTCGATGGAGACTTGGGAGAGGCTGGCAGGAGTTGAGGGCACTGGGGCCCCGGAGAGAGGTGGCCAGGAAGCTCCCGTCTGGGGTGGGGTTTGCTGGATGCTGATGGCCACGGGTGGGGAGGGCAGGCCAAGACCTGAGTGTGCGCTGGCCCTGGGCAATGTTGGGACTGACTCCCGGAAGAGGCCGCATTCGGGGTTCCCAGGCAGAGGCCAGAGGGAACACAGATCATGGGGGACCTTGTAGGCCACCCTGTCTGGAGGGCAGCAGACGGCAGGAGCCTGTGGGGATCCGGGCCGGCCAGTGTCCTGGGAGAATCGACCCGAGGACAGACACCTGTCTGTGTCCATTCCAGAAGCCTGTTCCCAGCCGGCCTCACCCTGGGGGGCCCCCTCTAGGATGGGGGTGGGCAGCCCTGGGGTGCCGGGGGCTTTAACGTGATTCCGCCTGTGTTGTGTCCTCATGCTCACAGGGTCCCTCGGCGACAGGTGGGCCAGGGTAGGTGCGTGGAGGGAGGGGGTGGGGGGGGGTTATCCAGCCGCGGGGGGGGGGGGGGGGGTGGGCCGTGTCCCGAGCATGCTCTGTGGACTTGATGCTTCCGTGACCCGCGCTGCGGTGTGCGTGGCCTCTGCTCCCCCGTGCTGGCCTGTCCGTGCCCAGGGCTTGTGGGGAGGCCAATGGGGAAGGGCACCCCCTTCCCTGTGTTTCCGTGATGTGTGTGTGGGGGTGGGGAGGGGTTGGGTATGAGCCATCGGTAAGTGGGTCTGGGATGAGTCCGTCCCTTCTAGGCGGCGGCGGGTTCGGGAAAGGGGTTGGTGGCCTGTGGCCAAGGAGAGTGACCGGCTGCTCGGGTTCCAGGCGCGCGCCCCAGGGGCCCCGGGCCCCCTGACGCTAAAGGAGGTGGAGGAGCTGGAGCAGCTGACGCAACAGCTGATGCAGGACATGGAGCAGCCGCAGAGGCCCAGCGTGGCCTCCCACGGTGAGCTGGCGCCCCTCCTCTCCCCGGAGCACCCCCCCACAGCCCTTGCGTCCCCCCACCCCCACCGCTGATGGCCATCCCCTCTTGTGACCCGCGCAGAGCTGTGCGGCCACTGCCAGCAGCCCTTGGCCCGCGCGCAGCCCGCCGTGCGCGCGTTGTCGCAGCTCTTCCACATCGCCTGCTTCACGTGCCACCAGTGCGGGCTGCAGCTGCAGGGACAGCAGTTCTACAGCCTGGAGGGCGCGCCCTACTGCGAGAGCTGCTACACGGTGAGGCCCTGGGGGAGGGCGGGAGGGAGGGCCGGCTGGGGATCGCAGCGGCTCCCCACCAACCTGCCTCCCCCCCACCCAACGACCACCTCCGCCCCCCCGCAGGACACCCTGGAGAAGTGTAACACGTGCGGGCAGCCCATCACGGAGCGCATGCTGCGCGCCACGGGCAAGGCCTACCACCCGCATTGCTTCACCTGCGTGGTCTGCGCGTGCCCGCTGGAGGGCACCTCCTTCATCGTGGACCAGGCCAACCGGCCGCACTGCGTCCCCGACTACCACAAGTGAGGACCCCCCATCCCCCACCATTCCCCACCCAATCCACAAGTGAGGACCCCCCATCCCCCACCATTCCCCACCCAATCCCCCCGCCCATGCGCGCTCCGGGGCTGTTCCGCCCCCACACCTCACGCCAGGACCCTGCGCTCCTGGGCTCCGTGTGGGCGGGGCCCGTGCCCAGGGTTGTGCACAGCGGCAGCGACCTCCCGGTGCCCTGGACCAGGGGAGCCGCGGGGATGCCGTGGGTTGGCGCCATTTTCCCACTCACACACACCCTTGGCCTCTCGCTCTCGGGGTTCCCATCCAACCAACCTCGGTTGGGCAAAGTCATGAGTAGTGGCGCGGGCGGGTTCGGGATAAGAGTCCAGTTGGGGGTGGGCATCTGTGGGTAGCGCAGGGACAGAGCCCGTTGGTTGAGGTCCCCCTGCGGGCAGGGCAGGGGGGACACACATTCCCCTTGGATCGGGCCCTCTCCAGCTCCATCACCTGCAGAGGTAGGTGCATAACCCCCCCCTCCCGCCCCGCAGGCAGTACGCGCCGCGGTGCTCCGTGTGTGCTGAGCCCATCATGCCCGAGCCGGGCCGCGAAGAGACGGTGCGCGTGGTGGCACTGGACAAGAACTTCCACATGAAATGCTACAAGTGTGAGGTGGGTGCCCTACGCATGGCCCTGGGTGGGGGGCGCTGGGAGATGGGGAGCGGGCGCCCTGGGGAGACCCACATCTTCCACTGGGGGCGCGCGTGCAGGGCGCAATCTGGCCTCCTGGTGCAGGGAACAGGCGTGGGGAGTGCGCGGGGACACCCCGCGGTCACTTAGAGAAGGGGGAGTTTGCGGGGTGCCCCGGGCCTTCCCATCAGCAGACACCCCCCCCCATCTCCTCGGTTCCTCCAGGACTGTGCGAAGCCGCTGTCCATCGAGGCCGACGACAACGGCTGCTTTCCCCTGGACGGCCACGTGCTGTGCCGCAAGTGCCACGGTGTCCGCGCCTCGCAGGGCTGAGTGGGGACGTGCCGCCCTCCGCCCCACCCCCGCCCCCTCCTGGGGTGGGGGGCTGCTGCTTCCACTGCTGCACGCCCCCCGCCCCCTTCAGCCCGCGTGCGCTGTGCTTGCAGGGGTCCCCGGAGAGCCCCCCTGTGCTGTGTGGCTCTGGGGACGACGGGCGCGTCCCGGACACGACAGCCTCACCTCCCCGCCCACTGCCGCCAGGTGTGGCTGTAGCTGCGAATAAAAAAACAACTTGTTTTCCAGAATTCTTCACAGCCGAGTCTTTGTTCACAAAGTGCTCCCCGTTCCCGTGCTGGGGGGGCGGGGGGCGGGGAATGGCGGGGCTGGGGCTTTTAAAACACGGGGAACCATGAAAACTCAGTTCCCATTTATTTACAAAAATATATATATATATGTGTGTGTGTGTGTGTGTGTATGCGTCTGTCTGTATATATTAAACCGCGCCCGCACCCCCCGCCCTTTGTTAAAGCCCAGGCTCCCGGACCCCAGAGGCCAAGGGGCGTGGGAGCAGCACCAAGTGTCGCTGCGGGCAGGGGCCACAGCCCCTCCGAGCTCCCTGAGAGAGGGGGGAGAGAGAGAGAGGGCAGGGCTCAGTCCTTGAAGCCCTGAATACTGCACAGGATGCGCTTCTGGTGTCCGGGCATGGTGATCCCCATCTGGACCAGGTCCCTGCAGGGGGAGAGGGATAGAGAGAGACAGAGACAGAAGAGAGACAGACAGAGACAGAGAGAGGCCCTGCTGTGAGGCTGGGGGCTGCAGGGCTGGGTCCCCCCCCAACTGCCCCCCTCATCCCCGGGGCCATCCTCACTCGGTAGTCAGCTCCAGCACACACTCCATGCTGTCCAGCCCGGCTGAGCGGAAGTGCAGGATGTAACGCTTCATGCGAATCGACTCGAGCCACTCGGGGACGCTCCGGTAGGGGATGCCGTCAGAGCCGCTCAGGCTGGGCAGGCGCAGAGTCACCCTACGGGACACGGGCTCTCTCAGTCCTATGGACCCTGGAGGGGGGCAGGGGTGGGGTGGGGCCAAGTTGGGGCTCAGCCCCGGACCCTCTGTGACAGCGTTCGCATGGGGGGTCTGAGTGGAGAAACGGTCTCAAGTTATGGCATAGCCGGGCCACTGTGGGGGAACTCATTTCCTGGTGGGCTTCCTGGGCTGGTGCTATTAGGGGGGTGTGGAAGGGTAGCCGTGGCAGCTCTGGGTGTCCCCCACAGAAATAAATGTTCCACCATAGAATGGGCACAGGTGGAGGGATGGGGACTCGATCATTGCATGACTGATACGTAATCATGAAAGTTTGTAAGTCTGTAATTATCTCACACTGATTCATTAAAATATATATATATATATAATAAAAATAATAGGGGCTGGAGTGACAGTACAGCAGGTAGGGCGTTTGCCTGGCACATAGCTGGCCCGGGTTCAATCCCCGGCATCCCCAATGGTTCCCCCAAGCACCACCAGGAGTAATTCCTAAGTGCAGAGGCAGGAGTAACCCCTGAGCATCTCTGGATTGACCCAAAAAGCAAAAAAAAAAAAAAAAAAAAATAAGGCAAAAAAAAAAAAAGTTCCACCAGTTCCCTTGCCACGAACAGGCCAGTTGTGGGCAACCGATTTCAGGATGTAAAAGGCCCCACTGTTCCCGTGGAGAGAGATGCAGGAGTGAAACATCAACTCAGGAAACAGGGCACCCCATTCCCCTCCCCCCCAAGCCTCCCAACCCCCATCCCTGAGTTCTGGGAGCAGCTATTGCCGTATCCAACCCCAGTGGTCATAACTTGCACCCTGACCCCCGCAGTACAATGAGTGTCCCTGAACGCAGGCCAGCCAGAGGCAGAAACCATTCGCGTCCCGTTGCGGGGGAGAGAAACAGCCAACATTCCTGACGGCTTAGCACACCCGTCTCCGGCGTAGAGAGGAACTGTGTTCCCAGAGATAGTTCCCAAAGCCGAGCCGAGGTTGGCGGCGGCAGCTGGGCACAGAGGCAGCGCCGAGCCTTTTCCTGATAAAGGGCCTCGCCTAGTGCCCCCGCGCGTGCCCTCTGCCAGTCCATTCTCTGTACTCTGCCCAGTGTTGGGGGAAAACGCAATTCTGTTTCCCTTCACAGGCACTTTTTTTTTTTTTAAATTGGTCGATAGCTCTGTGTGTACAGGATAAAGTCCAAGCTGCTCGGTGGAGCTGGTTCCCCCAGCACTGACCCGGCCACCTCCCGGAGTTGGCTCTGGCCATGGCCTCTGATTCCCCGACTCATGCAGGCTAGTGACCAGAAGACGTCCCGGCCCCCACCAGGCGTTCATGACTCCCGTCTGCTCATTTTTTTTTTTTATTAGTGAGACACCATGAGGCCGCCTGCTCATTTTTTGAGCTCCCTATTCCTGAGTGACCCAAGTCCCTCCAGCAAGGTCACACGCACCACTGTGCCACGAGGGTCCTTGGCCTGGCAAGTGCCCCCAAGCGTGGCGACTGAGGGGCCTTTCCTCAGGGGCTTCTGGATGGGGAGGAACATGTACTGGGACCCACAGGAAGTTAAGTGATGCAACTGGGGCCTGGGTGCAGTTGCTTTGCTGCAAATGGGGATCACCCGGGCTGTACCAAGGGAGCTACTCCTGGCATAGTCTTTGGGTTCACTCCCTGTGACGCTCACTCAGGGGACCACACAGTGCCAGAGACTGTTCTCAGAAACCATATGCAGTTCTGGGATTTGAACCCAGGTCACAGGCTCAATTGCTTCCTAGGCAAGAGCCTTCACCTTGGTGCTATCATCCTGGAAGTGCCAGAGGCTGAATCCAAGGCCCCTAAAGCAGCACATGCACTCAGCCCTCAAAACCATCTCCCAACTCCATGATGACCTTTTTTCCATTTTTGTTTTTCCACCAACCCCCGCTGTGTTCAGGCCTTACACATCTGGTGATGCTCACAGGGAACACAGGGACCAAACTGCGATCAGTTGCATGCCAGGCCAGTCCCTTGCCCCCTGAACTGTTTCTCTGCCCGCACCCCTTCCCCAATTTTGCTTGATTTGGGGGCTGGCTGCAGATGTGCTCAGGGTTCCCCCCTTGGTGGTGCTTCGGGGACCATACGCAGTGTTGGGGACCATCCCCGGCCAGCCACAGGCCAAGGCAAGTCTTCCCAGCTGTACTAGCTCTCTGGCCCCTGCCCTCTGGGTAATGAGCGACTTTGAGAATGCTTCAAGAGCTGTTTCAGTGTTTGCTTCCTTCCGGCTGTCAAACTAGAGTTACGGAGGCCAGGACGTGCCTCCTCCTCCATCAGGACAGATGCTTCCGGGCCCGATGGAGCTGACCACTCACGGCCACTCTCCCAGACTGGTCACCGGAACCCCTGGGTGCCCCCCCTACCCTCCCCCCACCCCCCAGCATGGCTACCTGGGATCAAAGTTGGCAATGGTCCGCAGCGGGTGGGGATTGGCCAGCAACTGCTCCAGATGCTCCTGCAGCTGGTGGAACTGGGGCCGGCGGGTCCGGTCATAGGCCCAGCAGTTCTTCATCAGTTCATAGAGGGGGGCGGGGCAGTCCACCGGCGGGGGCAGCCGGTAACCGTCCTCGATGCTCTTCATGACCTGCCGCGGGGAGAGGCCAGGGGGGAGGGCCGAGGGTGTCAGGAATAAAGGATCATGGACCAAGGTCACTGCATGGGAGCCTCTCCACGGCCCCCTGGCAGAAGGGAAAGGGAGGGGCTAGCAAAATTCGGCCGCGTGTGCAAGAGGAGGGCCCAGGCAGGCTTGGGGCCGCGGGAGGTGAGTTGGGATTTTGCGGGGGGCAACGGTAGGCTCACCTCCTGATTGCTCATGTCCCCGTAGGGCTTGTCCCCAAAGCTCAGCACCTCCCACATCACGATCCCGAAACTCCACACGTCACTGGCCGTGGTGAAGACCCGATGTGCAATGGCTTCCGGGGCCGTCCACCGGATGGGGATTTTGCCTCCCTGAAGGGCCGGGTGGGGCAGAAAGGGGGACATTTCAGGGTCTGGTGGGGGAGGAATGCCCATGGATGGGGGTGGGGGTGGGGGTGGTCCTGTGGATCGTGAACATGGGGGAGGGGCGGGGAGAGGGAGTGGGACGCTGACCTGCGTCTCGTAGGTGCCATCGAAGCTGTCCAGGAGGCGGGTCAGGCCGAAGTCGGATACTTTGCAGCACAGGTTCTGGCCCACCAGGATGTTCCTGGCCGCCAGGTCGCGGTGCACGTAATTGTGCTCGCTGAGGTAGTTCATGCCAGATGCGATGCCCTGCAGCATGGCCACCAGCTGTGCGGGGACCAGCTGCTCCTCCCGCTCCTGCAGGGTCAGGGGTGCGAGGGTCAGGGGCGGGCCTCCTCCTGGACCCGGGGCCGACGCCCAGCGCTCCCGCTGCTCCTCCACCTGCTCACCCGCAGGAAGCCGTCAAGGGCTCCGTTCTCCATGAACTCCGTGATGATCATGATGGGCTTCTCTGCAACCAGCGCCCACAGGGTCAGGGTCAGCACATTACATCCGCCCCTTGCGGGCGGCACCCACCCTCCCGCCCGCACTTCCCTTGCCCTGCCTACTCTTGGTGATGACGCCCTCCAGGTGCAGGATATGCGGGTGGCTGAACTGGCCCATGATGGTGGCCTCCCGCAGGAAGTTCCACCAGTGGCCATCAGGGGACGTGTCCTTCAAGGTCTTGATGGCCACCGTCTTGCAGTCCTGGCTGGATGTTCTCAGGGTCCCTCGGTAGACCTCCCCAAATTCTCCTGGGTGGAAAGACATGCCAGAACCAGCGTCAGGGGGTACAGCGTCCGGAAATAGGGAGGCGACCTCCTAAGGATGGGAGGAGCTCGGGCTGCGCTTCTGGGAGCAAGGGGACAGGGGACACGGCGGGGGGGCAGCTCTGCCCAGGTCAGCAGCCTGCCAGGACCACGCGGTTGTGGGCGACAGGGCGGCTGGCAGATGCCAGTGGTGTGTGCCCCACAGAACGTGCGTCCACCCAGGCCCGGGCTGCTGCTCTCCGTGAGCTGCCCTGGTCCCAGCTCGGCCATGTGGCCAGCGAGAACACTGCCCCGCTTTGTTCTCAGCTCAGATCTGTTTCCTCTGGTGACCCAATGGGTCAGGTCAGCCCAAGGACAGCGGGCACCAGCTGCGTGGATGCGGGGCCAGGGAGGCAGTGACCTTCGCACGCTTGGGAGCCCAGGGCAGAGGCCCGACCCGACAACTGACAAGGACGTGTTCATTGCCCAC